AAGGCCGAAATTGCATTGAAATCGCACATTTTCACCATTCCAAACCCGTATCTCAGTTATGCATGGATGGATTTTGTTCAAATTTAATACATACATTAAACATAATAGGACCTTGATGCATGTCTTTTTTTTTTTTGGATCAATTCGAAATGGCCGACTGGCGGCCATTTTGTTAAAGAATTCAGTTCTGGATCCGTATCCAAGACATGTCTGGATTGATCAAATTCAAACTTCACACACACATGGTACATCATGTCACAAATAGATATGTGCATTTGTTTCATGATCTGCTTAACAATAGCGGAATGATGGCCATTTTAAGGCCGAAAATGCATCAAAATCACGTATTTTCACAATTCCAGAACCGGATCTCAGTCATGCATGGATGGATTTTGTTCAGATTTTGCACAATGTGTTGTACATATGCAGGTGCATTTCGGTCATGATCTGCTTTGAATGTATATGTCACTCAAATATGAACGGAACGGGGACGTGTCATTGACAATGACTTGTTCTGGTTTGGGTTGGTATGCTTGGAATCGTTTGTCTCTGAATCGTTTGTTTATACATCTATTTATCTGTACGCGCACATGTGTGTGTGCATGTGTGTGCACATGTGTGTGCGCATGTGTGTGCGCATGTGTGTGCGTCCTGTAATTTTAAGTATTTTGTACATACATGTAGTATTTATGTACAATTTATGTGAAATATGAGTGGAAATCTAGTGGTGGAATGAGTAACAATTACTGTAAAAGTGAATGAGTGCTCGGTATTTTAAGTACTTATTCGTTCATGTCAGACTTGTAACAAATTAGATATACTGCTGCTGCATTGTTTCCATTCTACTTGTATATGTACCATTTTGTATTGATTTTCTAGGTATATCAGAGGTTATGCCAAAGGACACAGTCTACATGACTGTACTTCGTGATCCAGTACCAATGTACGAATCTTCATTTACATACTTTCGGATAGGAGGGCGTTATGGCTTAAAAGGATCTAATGCTCTGGAACAGTTTCTCATGAACCCAGACGGCTATTTCAAATCTAATTCAAACAAAGGGCGTGTGAAGAACCCGATGTTGTATGATTTGGGTTTTGACCCAGAAAATATGTACAGTATGGATAAAATTGACAAGAAAATACAAGAGATTGACAGCATATTTAAAATTGTGTTGATCTCTGAATATTTTGAAGAATCTTTAATATTATTGAAAGAAATTATGTGTTGGGACATGGAAGATATTGTTGTACTTCAAACTGAACTCACGGAGTGCAAACTCTGTACATAAAGTCTCATCAGATTCAGCAAAGAAGATTCGTGAATTCAACGCTGGGGATGTCAAACTGTATAATATTTTAATGATTCTCTACAAAAGGCTATGGATAAGTATGGCAGGAATAAATTGGCTACTGAGGTTGCTCAGTTGAAACAACGCATACATGAACTTGAAACAAAATGCATTGCCAGAACACTTGAAACAAGCAACAGGGTGTATAGACCACCGGGTCTAAACGTCCAAGATTTTAGTCTGAAACCTGGTATGGACAAAGACTACCAGTGTAAGAGCATGACAACACCTGAACTGATGTACACATCTAAAGTTCGTGATAAGTTGTATGCCAAAATAAGAGAATATACAGCAAAGCATGCACCTGTCGAACAATGATATCGTTTTCCCAAATAAGAGGCAGTTTTTGTTTTATATAATCTCATCCTAATTCCTTTTTATTTAAATGAACCTTTTTTTCATTTAAATATGTTTAACTTTATTGCTTGGTCTGTCATACATTCTTCTTGTTTCTGTTACTTTAATGTGATACTTAATGTATGTCATGTTACAGTCATTAATACCAACTCGTAATCAAAATTCAATTGTTATTCCCAAATTTAAACCATCATATTTATTGGATGAAGAGTTCATAGAATACTATAACAATAATGAACTCCTCACAGTGCCCTATTGGATAAAGAGTTCATAGAATACTATAACAATAATGAACTCTCCATAGTGCCCTATTGGATAAAGAGTTCATAGAATACTATAACAATAATGAACACCCCACAGTGCT